CTTATGTACAAAACCTAACTCACACATACGTTGTAGTTCACTGGTCATTGCTGGAGACATACATTACGACAAGCATCGGCATGTTGACAATGTTGCTCTACATTTCACAACACGTAACTGTTATTGGGATCCACTGGTCAGTACAGGGATTTGTATTTACACATTTGTGCAAAAATAGTGGTGACTATGACAGGCTGAAGGGATGTCACATGGGGTACAGCTGACAGGTGGGGTGGGGTGGGACAATCACAAAGGGATGTGGGAGTTTCAGTGAGAGCTTTGCTATTTGTATATCACATGTATGTTGTCCTGAGAAAAAATGAGGCGTAACACAGACAATAGCATTGTACATTTCAACACATTCTGAGCACCAAACATTACTTATAAAGAAGATGCTGAATGACTACATACTAACATTTTCGATGTCTGTCTTTAAAAAGTAATTTTTTGAGAAAGCAAGCTTCTAAGGTTTTAACAGAATAGGTTTAAGCAAAAGGTAAGGTTTGGGATATTTCTAGGTTGGGGAAGCTTCTATGGTACAAAAGAACATGGAAGGCAGAATATCATATATTAACATGGGAAGACTATCCTTGTTCAAACAGTATCTATACATAGTTTCATACTTCTAAAAACTCTCAGTGATCATGTTGAAAGGGTACAACATCACTTCTGTTGCAATCATGTGTCTTCTACCATACTTCTTATTTGTGACTATTCAATATACAGTCTCTTCCTAACCAGGAGTACATGTGCATAGTCTAACCCTGACCTTGGCACTTCAACTCTGAACACTGACCTTTACAGTATCCCTTATCATAAAGCAAGTATATGTAGTCTCTAGCAACCAAGTCTGAATGTTCCCACAAAGAAGATCACCTGGATCATCTCAGTGTGCAGAAAACTGGTGGGAACAAAAAGGAGCTTTGTGTTTCTCCCTCTTTTGACTTCTAATTGTCCCCCGTACCCCTCACTCCCCATGCAAATGTTACATATTAGTTCAATCATTACAAATGTCATCTTGTTTTCTTAATTTCTCTCACCTACTCTACTTCTCCCCGTCCCCAATTACTGACTCACTGATTCAACATTCTATAACCAATCAGAAGGAGATTAAACATTCAAGTTCCATACATAAGCTAATTTGACAGTTGAACTGTACAGTAGAAATTGTTACAGCTACAGAGTTTATTGCATGGGAAGCAAGCTCCCTGAAATGCACAGCTTTGTGAAGCTGTCCATTTGTTCAACAGTTGCTCCTCTTCCTAACATTTGCAATAAATACCAAGGGAAAACCAAGAGTGGTGAAAGGCTGTAGCTAACAGAAAGCTGTACAAAAGATGTCAGAACATGTGCATCAAGCACCAAGGATACTTTGATACCTTTACAAAAGTATGACCATCAAATAGGGCGTGGCTTGTCAATCATAAATAATTTTCAACATTGTCTTTACTTAGGAACTTGCCTGACAACCAAATCAAACTCAGTAAGCACACTTGATATTTGGGCTCCATTTAATCAAAAGCAATGACTGTTGAAACCAGACAAGTTGTACGGAATAATGTACTGGGTGGTGTTTCAGGACTTCCCTCCGATCTTGGCTATCAGGTCATCACAGATGGCAGTCAGCTCTTTATTTTCTTGAGCCTGCAAGGAAAAACAACGAGTCAATAGACAAAACCTAAAACATTAACCATTTTCAGTGGAACACATTGTTGGTCAAATCAGTTTCGTCGGCTGTAATTAGGTAGCATTTGTCTACCAATTATTCAGTACACTTGCTCTCCAACAAACATATCTAAAATGTACACTGAACAGGCAATGAACACACCCTGGCTATGCTACTGAATGTGCTAGAGGTATGAAGTATGTAGAGCATCAGGAGTTGTAAATGTACCTGCTGCTCCACTGTTCTCTCCAGACTGGCTGCCTTGGTCTCCGCTCTCTTCAGCTGTGCCTGCAGAGCCATCACCTCCGTCTGGTTTGCCTTCCTCACCCTATCAATCTCTTGGTTGGCACTGAGGAAAACAAACTCTCAAGATTAGCTTACAGCACACATGCATGCTACAAAAACATCAGTACATATCTATGAAGCAGTAAAAAAACTCTCTCTTCAGACTCTTGACAGAAGTGTATATATGATGAGTACCATCTGTAGCCCCCTTTTTCTGGCAAACAATGACTGATAAAATTAATCCAAAGACTGTGATTACCCATTGGTCAGTACTGGACATGTAAAGTTAATGGAAGTCTCACCTCTCGATTTTTTCCTCAGCATGTGACTTGAGGGACTGATATCTCTGCTCCTGCTTCTTCAGTTTAGTCTGGTACTCCTGGATACACTTCTTCATAGTTTCTTCATTCTGATAGAGGATAAGAGAAATAACAAGAGTCAATCAGTTTGAAATAACATTAAAAAATCAAGGAGTCAATACATGTACAGTATGTACACATGTATATAATAACACTCAAACATGTAGTTTCTCACCTTCTTTAGCCCCTCTACAACCCCCTTCAGCTTGTCATATCTCTTGTGTAGGTCACTGAAAGATTTCTCTACGCTGGCTAGGTCTTCCAGAGCCTGTGTGAAGAAAGGCATTAAGTTAGTACATGTGTAATATTTCATTTCATTCAATAGGTCACAACTGGTGGTACCATAAGCATACAGTATAGACAGACACTAATTGCAGTGAATTATTTCAGACTTGAACAAAAATACGGTTAAAAGCTTTTTCTTCAGGACTTTAACAACTGATGAATCAGTCTTTTGAAGGTACTTTCACAAAGGAAACACTGAAATATGAAAAAAGACTAAGACTTACCTGTTCTTTTTCTCTGATGAGCTGCATCTTGTTCTCTTTTGTTAAACTTTTGTCCTCTGTAGAAGAAAACAATGACATGAGCAAAACATGATGGGATGTTAATGACAGAAACAATGTGAACCTCTGCTGCAGCAGCCCATGCAGGATGACATTATTACTTACATGCAGAAAGAGAAGCATTCGATACTGTGTTTCACATGCAGCAGTGCAACTCTCACAGGCAGTGGAAAAAGGAATATGAAGCCAGAAAACAGCCACAAGACATCAAATAAATAAAATTCAGTCAAATTAAAAGAAAGACAAAAAAGAAGGAACAGAAAAAAGTGCAAGCATGCATTCTGGGGAGCTGGAAAACTAAAGGAATGCCAGAATGTGAACGTTCAGCTTTTAAATGGTACTACAGTTGCAGCAGCAGTAGCTTTGACCTGTCAAACATGCCTGACTGCAGAGAATGATATGAAAAGAGCTTTTTAAGTTAACAGATCTTGATGCCTGATATTTCTCTGGGCCACCTGATGTTGAAATGTCATGACCACCAGCGCATGTTGAGTCTGAATTTCTAACCAAGGAAGTCCTCTTAAGGCCAAACATATTCCTTTAATCTTTACATGTATATTACAGAAATCTTGGAAGACTCTTTGGCCTGGTAAACATAGTTCTGCCCAGACACACCTCTTCAAAACCAAACTCATACTCTACTCAGTCTCCGTCAAAACTGGTGTCAGCAAATGAGCATAAAGGCAGATGTGTATAAAGGTCAGCATGCACAGGCAAAAGCAGGTTATGTTAGAGCTAAGTTACCCGGGCTAAATTAAACTAAAATGTGCAAATTTCTGGACTTTTGGCTTTCCAACTGTGCCATTGACAAATCAACAGCAGCTGGAAACATGCATACTTACCAAACTCAAATTTTAACCTGTCCGCCTCAAGGTGGTCAAGTTTGTCTGAGATGTCACAAATGGAAGGAAGAAGAGAGCCAAGGACAGGAGGACAGAAGACATGACATCAAGGACACACCACGTGGTGCAGTGAGACAAGAAGAAAAGAGAAGTCAGTAGTCTGGTAATCGCATAAGCAAGTAGTGCCTAACAGTGTACTAAACACCTGGAGTAAACTAGTTCACCATTTGATGAACCACCTTGTACCAACCTTCCAATTATACAGCTCATTACAATTACAGTCTTGTTGTAAAATGGACAGTTGTAAATCATTATTTATAACCAGTGTATAAGAAATTTAAAGGTTTTATTATCATTTGATGGTAAGACATTGTAAAACACATTGTCTATGATAATCTACGATACCAATACTACCAGCATCTGTGATAAACTTAAATCTATTCATAATAAATTGGTTTTAACTATAAAACAAACTGTGACTTACCAATCATCTGCTGTATAGTTCTCTCATAGCCTTCAACCACTTTCCTATGAGATAAAAACAAAACTTTTACTGCAAGTCACTTTTTCAGTCTGCACACACAAATGATGAACGTCAAAAATTAAAGCAAATGGTAGTACACTATAGCTCCAAATAGTATAAAGACAGATTTCCTTGGTGTGTTTTATCTCCTTCACAACTGAACCTGCTGCTACCTCACTACTATAAGACTGAGCACAAAGTACAAGCAGTAAAAGAGAGACGGTTACTTCATCTCGTGGTTGTCTCTCAGAGACTCCTCCTTCTGTCTGCAGACCTCCTGGAACTCCAGGTCTCGCACAGACATCTTGATCGCCCACTGTGTCACACAGGGACAGGGTTAGATACATGTAGATACCAGTTTCAACAGTTATCTACAACTCAATCATCACAAAACCTTAGTTATCCATTCTTGATGACCAGCTTGAACCAGTAATTATATGTATTGATCAGCAGTTCAATGTTCAGACATCATTTTTACCTGAAACATTTATTCATCCTAATCTCCAAGCAGATTCCACGGTGGCAAGGCTGTAACCATTAGCAGGGAGTGACCATTAGCCACTACTTTGGCCAATGGTCACAGCCTTGCCACTGTACGATCTGCTTGGAGATAACATTTATCCCACATTATAAGAACTCCGTATGTACAACAGATACCAGTATTCAACATACGATTGTCTGACAGTCAAGATAGAAACCGACCTCCTTTTCCACCTCTTCCTTTGCGAGTTTGACAGCAGCATCCTGATCAGCCTGGGAGTACCGCAACAACTGTGTGAGGGGAGGGAGATATGCTGACTATCATCCATGTTTTCTCTGCAACTTGTACATTGAAACCAACACACAACCTCTGCACCCCCATGAAACTCCTTCCTCTTCGCCCCCGCCGTTCTGCTTCGCCCCCGCCCCGTTCTGCTTCGCCCCCGCAAAAAAATCTGCTTCGCCCCCGTCGTTCCTCTACGCCCCAGGCGCAATTCTGCTTTGCCCCCGTCCTTCTGCTTAGCCCCCAATGGCGGCACAGCTCACAGTCGACACGAAAATCGTCTGCAAAATAACAATAAAGGCTGTGCCGCCAAATTTAAAGTAGCCCATGCTCCGGCAAACATTCTGGACCACCTTTCTGCCAAGTGGCGTTGCACAAATCCTTCCCATTCAAAAGTTTACCCCTACCTCACGGCCCGTCAGTGGTTCTTACGTTTATAAGTACTGGCGGGAAATTTCACTCACGGCTGTACTTATAAACGCCAGTACTTATAAACGTAAGAACCACTGACGGGCCGTGAGGAAGGGGTAAACTTTTGAATGGGAAGGATTTGTGCAACGCCACTTGGCAGAAAGGTGGTCCAGAATGTTTGCCGGAGCATGGGCTACTTTAAATTTGGCGGCACAGCCTTTATTGTTATTTTGCAGACGATTTTCGTGTCGACTGTGAGCTGTGCCGCCATTGGGGGCTAAGCAGAAGGACGGGGGCAAAGCAAAATTGCGCCGGGGGCGTAGAGGAACGACGGGGGCGAAGCAGATTTTTTGCGGGGGCGAAGCAGAACGGGGCGGGGGCGAAGCAGAACGGCGGGGGCGAAGAGGAAGGAGTTTCATGGGGGTGCTCTGTACCTGTGCACATACTAGTAACCATAGTCATTATGATGATTGTAACTTTTCTATTGTCTTGATTTTTCATAGCCTGGGTACCATCCGGGTTTTCGCTACGCACACTCGAAAAAATCACTTTTTCGAGCGTTGCGTAGCGAAAATCCGAATGGTACCCAGGCTAGATTTTTTATGCTTATACATGTAGATATAATGCATAGCACTAAATATCATAGGATCAAGTCCACCCAAGATCTGTCATACCAACATGGCTTTCCAGATGAGACTTACCTGTACAATGCCCTCGTCTTGTTTGGATGACTTGGGAGCGAAAGACTCTGTGGGCCGAGGCGGGGACGGTCTGGGAGAGGGCTTGCCTTTGCTGGTCTCTGCATCAGGAGTCTGAAAGTGGCGAGTTTATCAACATTTAGACTCACACACAGCAAGCAACATGCTAACACAGTGGGTAGTGGAGATGCCTGGGATGGAATGATAGGTGAAGACAAGTGGAGACAACTGTGACAGAAAGTGCATGCTTGTACAGCGACATGCTGGTGTGTGCTGTCACATGTAAAATACATGTATGTCACCATTGAAAAACTCTCCATGCTTTTAAAACACAGAGGTCAGACATACATTTTGTACATGTATGAAACATACAGCAAAGTTCCACTCTCAACTTATTTAAGGTATAATGTGTAAATTACCTTAATAGGCATTTTAGATCGGGACCCAACATAGCTAACAACCTTCTCTGTCATACAGAATATATATATAATATGTTCACAAAATCTTTGTTCCAAACTATTAAAAGTATGTGTATCACCAAGACAGTGTTGTGTTTCAGGTCTAGACTTCAATCCTGATGCCATACAACACAAAACAACACAGTACACATTTGGGTTAGTACACGGTTGTGCCTAGCAGACAAGGACAGAAACTGTAGGCAAGGTTGACATGTTACCAACTGACATTATCATTGAGGATTATTGTGGACTGTCATATCATTACTAATGGTTGTACCTCTATGTAATCAGCACAAATATCACATGTACAATGTAACAAAAAACTGGCTACAGTACAGTATACAGGATCTATGCAGGAACTTAGTACAACAGATGGGACTGTTGAATACCCCTGCACTCCAGTTAACACATAAAGCTTCATGCTGTTATGACAGCAACACTCAAGCTGCGCACCAGTCTACCAAAGAATTACACAACACCAGGCAGGCTTATTCACTGTGCATCACCTGGGCTGGTGCACATGGCTGGGGGATTTCCACTGGTTTGGCCTCCACAACGGTGGATTTTGGGGGCACCGTGACTTTGGTCGGGCCATTGGGTTCAGCAGGTATAGGAAACTATTTTAAGAAGAAAATCAAACAGATTGAAGATATGAAACACAGTTAAGACTGCATGGACCTCAGCAAAGGAAAAGATAGGTCATCACTTACCACATAGAGTAAATGTGTGAAAACATGAACAAAAGTACAAAGCCACAAGTAAAGACAGTTTAGTAAGCTCTACCTCAGCCTCAGGCACTGCCTGTACATCTGCCACCTCTACCTTACATGTCTCCGCAGTACCCTCGTCTATTGAAGCCTCCCGAGATAGCTTTGATTTCTGCTGTGTCAGTGTACAAGGAAATACAGAAATGAGGTGGGAAATGTAGGATAGGGAAAAACAACATAAGAGCACAGAGAAAAAAAAAACAAGAAAACAAAGTGAAAACTTAGTATACCAACAGTTAACTGTTAATTTTATCCTTGACTTCTCAAGCAACAATCTTTGCAAAATAAGCAGAAGTGTGCAAAGCGAAAACCTTGAAAGTGGAGAACTTAGTGGGCAGCTGTTCCCACTGGGTTGCAAGGGTCATTATATCATTGGTTTGCTTCTTGCTTTTTGTCTAGAATTATAGACAGGGGAAGAGGGAAAGAATGCATGGAGTCAAACCATACTGTTATCAAACAAGTCCAAAGGGTAAAGATCGGAAATTATGATTATCACAGCCATCATGTAACATGTCACACACTGTAGCAGCTTCATTACAATAACCATACAAAGCCCACACACATTCCATAAGGGATGTACATGTATCACCTCAGCTAGGTTGCACTGGGACCGGGGTCTGGACTTTGGGGTGGGGGGTTCACTTGAACACTTTTTGTCTCGCTACAGAAAACCGTGGGGGGGTGAGATGTGTCAGAAAAAAAACAAAAACAAAGGAAGGACAGGCACAAAGAGAAAAGAAACAGAAGAACATTACGATTAGTCATAGAAAGATTGTGTATTGTAGAGTGTTGTAATGAATTCTATCACCTCTGCTCTAGGCCTTGACTTTGGGGTTGTTGGTTCAGGTTTGTTTCTCCTGTCCCTCTGTGGTAAGAAGGAAGTATCACAGCTTGGACTTTGACAACTCATCATACAGAAAAGCTTGTTAAAGATGCTAGTAGGGTAGACAGTTAAGGCAACGTGACTACAGAGCAGAGGGGAATTAGTACCTCAGCATTGGAGAGGGAGCGAGGTCTTGGCTTCACCGTCACTGAGGGGTTTTCACCTTTTCTCTTGGGCTGACGGTTACAGAAGTTGGACATGTTATCAGTTAGCTGCTGCTTAGTGCGTACAGTTATGCAATACAAAAGGGCTGGGGTGGCAAAGAAGCAGACAGTTCCAACAACGATCAAGATGTTTCTGATTTCTGACTGTACCCACAACCTGGTATATTTGGATGGAACATCCCTGAGAGCATGACTTTTAGGTAAATGTTAACGACATGACTGTAATGATGAGAAGGGATGGGAAGAAGGGTTAGGATACCTCAGTAGTAGAGGAGGACCGGGGTCGAGTGCTGGGTGCTGCAGAAGCAGGAGTAGTCCTCTTCTTTGGAAGGGAAAAGGGAGGATAGGTTTTTCAGTTAAGAGGACAGGGAAGTAAGTTATAAAATTCAAGAAACAAAACTATAGCATAGAGTAAGTAAAAAAAAAAATAGAGATAAATTAATCACCTCTGTAGTAGAAAGAGACCTGGGTCTGATCTTTGGGGTTGGAGGAGCTTTCACATCTTTTTTCTTAAAGTTACATGTAAAGGCAAGGAAGCGGTTAGAGGATCGCATTCAAGGTGTTCAACAATGCACAGTTCAACAATGCATGGAAAGGTAGTCATTTGCAAACTGTCCTAAAGCAGAGTTATGTGTGAGAGAGTGTTATTAATACCTCAGTAGTAGAAAGGGATCTGGGTCTTGTCTTTGGTGTAGTTGGAGCAGACATGCCCTTTTTCTTCAAGTCACAAAACAGCACACACAAGTTAACAGTGCATATTCGATAGGCAAGTTGCCAATCCTATTATTAGGGTTTTGAGGAGATAATGAGAAAGAAAAGGAAACACAGGGATAAAGAAAGAGATAGTAGAAAAAATGATAAAGGGGAGTTAAGGATGTTACCTCTGTGGTAGAAAAGGAGCGAGGTCGGCCCTTTGGGGTGGGGGGTGCGCTTGTTTCCCTTCGCTTTAGATTGAAGTGAGTCAGGTACATGTATATAGGTAAGATAGGGAAAGTAAGCATGTGTAATGCACTAGAAAGATTAATGTGGGTTTACTTAGAATTTGAAGAGGACAGATATGGGAGATATACCTCAGTTGTGGAGAGAGAGCGGGGTCTAGCCAGAGGGGTGGTTGGGGCACTCTTACTCAGGTCTTTTCGCTTGAAAAGGGCACATTAGACTGACATGTTAGCAGGACTAGTGGGAGGGGGACAGTTATCATCAAGGCCATAAGCATAACTATCAAGTACTTGTGTAGTCAGACTGTCAAGAGCAACGATAAGTTTGACACTACAGTACTGTACAAAATGTACTTTCTAAACATCTACCAAAGCAGACAACATCAACCTAACTATCAAGAATGTATGGGTGCTCCAATATACACAGACACATTAGTGAGCTGGCATGTCAAAGGTCTTTCATACTCAAGTTGTACACCATAAGATGATTCTGATTTCACATAGCACTCGTGTAGAAAAAAATTCAATGCAGAATTTATAATCACCTCTGACAAAGCACGAGGTCTTGTTTTAGGTGTTGCTGGCTTTGCCCTAGAAGTATCCTTCATGTGCAAACATAACACTACATGTATCAGGATCAACACAATGTACAGGAACAGCTCCAGCAAATCAAACCATGCACACATCATGGATGCCATTTGTACATGTACATCACCATGGACCAAACCAAACCTGCTGCACGTATGTTAACAGAACTAACAGAAGATGTTCCTATCTACAATTTGATTGTATGAGCCATATACATTTTGTACATGCGTGCAATTTATAGAAACTATACCATATACATGTAGTCTTCTCAAGTAGAACTCCATGCTTATTGATCAATATAATGCATTTTAAACAGCACTAGTGTCGTGACTACAAAGCAAACATGATCAGATCATCAAACAAGACATTCAATATCACTCATTACAGACTATCTGATGAAGCCTTGAATAAAAGAAATAAGAACCTCTCCACTGCCTTGTTTCTTATTTTGTAACTTGGGAGTTGTTTTGGGAGTTGTTGTCTTCTTTTCCTTGTTATCCTACATGAGTAGAAGTTCAGAAATTCTTTACTTCAGGAAAAGATATGCCTCTTATAGAGTCAAATGATATGATATTGGGAGAGAAAGAAAGATCAAAAGGAAGAGAAAAATGAATGGAACAAACATAAAAGCACCTCAGTGTTGGATGCTGACATAGATCGCTGCAGGACTTTCTTGTTCTCTTTTTGTTTGTCAGGTCCCTGAGAAAAATCAGGGAAGATGACATATCTATAGACAGCAGACTTTTACAATTTGACAAAAGAATGATCAAGAATGAAAGATGAAAATGAACGTGTAGGATGATTACGAACATACAACAAAGATGCCAATAAATCCCAGAGGTTATTTCTACAATGTTTTTTATGACACAGCTTAGTATGAGTAAGGGGTTGAGAGAAGTGAGCACCTCAGCAGAAGGGAAAGACCGTCGCAGCACAGGTTTAGCAATGAGGGCTTTCCCTTTGCCAGTGTCCTAAGGTGAAGAAAGTGTGCTTAGTGACAAATTAGAGGCACATAAATGTTAGGGATAGCAAGACAAATAAAAGAAGTACAGTGATTGTGATCCTCTGAGCAGTCAAAACCTCCACTCCACAAAACCTGCCCTTGAAAGTTAACGAAGACTCAACTGTAGTAGAATGTCCTGTGTCCCTAAGTGAGCGCGGCTTGTGCGTAGACTCGACAGCCTCTTTCAGGGTCTCTTTCACGATTTCTTTAGCTACGGAAGAGACAGTTCTCTTTGTCTTGTGTGGAGACGAGGACTGCAATTATCAGAGGCCATGAAAGAAGGACAGAAAGAGAAAGGACACAGAGAGAAAATAAGTTGAAGAAGTTAGTGTCTAGTGAAATGAGTACTGTTTCCTACCATTACAGAGATTCCATACACACACAGCGAGCAGTATGTTACATGTAAGTTGGTCTGGGCTACATGTAGGTACAAAGTGCAGTAGGAACAACCACAACCATCAATGATGAATGTGCAACATTCCCTCATGACCAATGACTCAACAACTACTACAAGGATTAGTAAAATACTTTCTACACCATTTTTCACCTCTGATAAGGACTTTCTCATGCTCCTGGGTGTTGCTTTAGGAGTGGACGGGGTCTTTGCCTCTGGCTTCTACATTTTGTCATAGAAAGAAAAAGAAAATGACAAAAACAAGCAACCTGGCAGAAACTGTCACAGTTAAATTTACTACTACAGTACCACTGGCAGTCTACATGTACAAGACTTTTAGACAGATACACATGTGTATGCAGAGGTTACTTGTGCAGGAGATTATATAAGGCAATAATCCAGTCTATCAGAAAACAGCTACAAACATTATAAATGCCTATCATATGTCATGCTTGTACGTGAACTGTCCAGATCAGGCTCCCACCTAGCACATCTCAAGTCTGACAACTTACTTTTCAATCTTCTTCTGAAACTATTCAACTGTTACCACATGACAAGGAACTAGGAAAAATGCTGGCATGTTGAAAGTACACCCAGGCCTATCCATCTACCTTGCTGCCTTTCTCTGTGGCTGACTCCTTACTAGAAGATTTTGGGGTAGGTTGCTTGGAACCAGGCTTGGCAGACTCCTAGTAATAGTACACACCCACAAAAAACAAGTTGGAAAGAGACACACTTCAAAACTGTGCAAAGTACAAAATGACAAGAAATGAGAAAATATAAGAGATACAGCGGCATTCATGATGTGGCATTATTGTACCTTCTTCAATTTAGGCGACTTTGTCTTTGACTGTTGTTTTGCTTTCGGTTCCGATGCAAAATCTTCACTTTTTGGTGGGTCGCTCTTCACAGGGTGAGAAATAACTTTTGTATTAAAATGAATACAATCATAGACATAGATGAAAGGAGCACCAGACAGTTGTATCAGGACAAAAAAGGACAGCAAAAATAAAACGGGCAAAAAGAAATGTAGGAAAGCAGATTTGGCACAAAAGATACCTCAAGGCTAAATTCCGAAAGCGTGTCACAGGAAGTATCATCTTTAGGCTCCTTTTGCCCCCCTGCAGCATACTGATGTACCAAACGGAGTACAAGAAATGTCAAGAAAATAAAAGAAACTGTTGGCCAAGCGAGTTAATGCGAGGTAAAAGTGTAAAACTCCATTGTGACTGACAACTTACATCAATGTTGTCACTGAATGTCACTTTTAAAGGTTCAATATCCCTTGTGGATGCTGAGCTAGATAGTGACAGACACTTTTGCACAAAAAAACAACAACACAAAAATAAACACATCAGAACAGCAAGGCAATCAATCAAACAAGCAGAAAAACAGAAACATAAAAGACTAGAAGAATAGAAGTTAGCTCTGTCAATATTTTGGAACCCATTGCAATAAAAAATGAAGTTTGCATATCATATTATACCTCATCCGTAAAGACTGAGTCATCTTCTGTATTATCTTCAAATCCACATTCCACAATCTTTGTAGGATGTAAAAAGAAAGCAGGTAGAAGTAGTTCAAACATGAGAGGCTTTTAGTAATCAGCCATTCCAAAGATACATAAAAACTCAGTAGCATTCAACGTCGTCTACTATTATGATAATATTCCCAACTATTTAACTTAGTGTTTAGGTCCAGCATATACATGTGATCTGTTGCTTTGGATGGAGTGCTTACTTATGTTACCATGCAAAATGTGCAGAGTAGAATTGTTGTGAGAGACTTTCATTTCACTGCAGTGTTCTGAAAGTGTATCAGCTGTTGCCTGATATTATAGGGTTAACAAGCCACACGACAGGGTTAGAGCTGCTATAACCGACCTCCAAGTCATCTGTGTCTAAGATGGAAACATCGTCCAAGTCAACCAGCTGTTTGGAAGCTAGTTTTGGCAAGTCTGCAGCCAATTCCTTTTGTAAGAGTAAACAATGGGTAAACATAAGGACAGTCAGTACATCTTTCCTGCCGCCTAACCCTGTGACCAGCACAAATCTGGTAAAAACGGCTTACTTTAACAGGGTGAAGTAATTTAAATAACTAAGATCTACATGGTATTACATGCAACTGGCAAAGCTAAACATAACTGTATACTACTGACAGTCATCCCAACTTTGAGTATGTGTTGATATCTGACACACATCCATACACTTTTAAGATTGATCAACAAAAAAGTACTGGATGAGAATAGTTGTTGCACCTGTGTATTATAGCCTGGAGGCAGTATACCTTTTTTGTGTACATATACATTTGTGTAGTACCTTCAATACATGCTGTTCTACATTTGCTACCTTTTCATGCGTATCTTTTCCCTGTTCTGATTTAGTTGACTCTGCCAGTGACAGGTCCTCAGACAGGGGGAAGATTTCATCTTCAAGACACTGTTCCACAGAGGGGAGAGGTAAAGAGAGAACTATCTTAGTAAGATACCAACCAAACCTACTGTATACCGGTAGCACAAATCATTAAAGCATCAACCATGCAGGCAGCATATACCACAATGAACATATACCTCAACAGCTGGTATTTCCGGAAGCAGATCTACTTTATTAATGGTAACTGCTGGTGTGGTCTGGAAGTGTAGCAAAAGGGAAGAAAGCTGATCATGTCACAGAAGGAACAAAAATAGTGTTTGTGCAAAATTAAATCAAGAACAACGAGGAAAGGCACAACAATAATGATAAAGAATGGTAGGCCATAAAATGCGTTGTATCATTTTCAAAAGTGTACCTCCTGTAAAGTAGAGTCTGATGGAGTATCAACTGCCTCCTGTGGTATCTCCAGTTGTGGGGGTGGTTCTATGACAGCATGAGGTTTAGGGACGTGTTCTGTTTCGGAGCTGACAGTTTTGGGCTGGCTTGTGACATTTCCCTGAGGTTTTTCTAGTTCAGGTTGAACTCCTATATCAGGGCTTTCTACTTGAGATGTGACCTCGGTATTATCTTCTTCAACATGTGATGTGATTTCAGAAACATGTTTTTCCTGACAAATAATTTCTGACCCCAGATTTTCAGAGGACAAGACTTCCATATCCACATTATCAGCCTCTGCTAACACTTCTGACTGATTTATTGTATCCAACTCAAATTGGTTGACATGAGCCTCAATATCAGCATCAGATTTCTGTGATTTGGTTGAACTTTCTGCTTGTACTATGTGAGTTTCAGTATTTCTGTCTTGTCCGATTTGCTCAGCAGTGATACCAGCCTTTGTTTTAGGAACTTCATGTGGTTCAGTTTTGCCAACAATTACTGGTGTTATGTGTGCTTTGGTATCAACCTCACAAACATTCTGCTCAAGTTCAGTGACAATTTCTGAGCCAGACGTTTCAGGTTCACAAGACTTGATAATAGCATCTGACTCCTCTGTTTTGGGAGCTATATTAAGTACATCTGGCCCACTTTGCTCAGCTTTAAAGACAGTTTCTACGGTAGGAAGTTCGGCTTCTTTAGAATTTGTAACACTAATAATTTTATCCTCAGATTTGACAGAGAGGGGGGTAGCCTCTAGCTTGCCTTCAGTGTCACCAGGTGGTTCTGGTTTAGAGTCTAACTGACACATTGTTTCTGAACTTTCAAACTGGTAGTGGTTCTGGCTGGGACTTGGCACTTTCTGCCACAGGTGTCACATTTGGGACAACCGTAGGGACCTCAGAGGTGCCATCAGGATCCTTGAAAAGTACAGGCAGAATGACACCAAGGTTACAGAATAGAAAAAAAGGTATGGATAAATAGCAATGAATCAAGCAAAAGGAATGACAGCAATGCAAAGGTATACATGTTGTACATTGTTGTTCTAAATAAAAAAGGATAACAAATGAAAAGAAATTTATACATTTGCATGTAACATGTAAGTACTGGTAAGAATACAACACCTCAGCAGCTTGTATTGGGACAGGGAGAAGGCCCCATAATCCATCAGGTGTTTTAGGCTGCGGGGAGGCCTGCATACCCAGACAGGAGAGGCAATGCAGGGGTTTGCAGGAGTACAACAGCAACGACATCGTGCATATATGTACATGTACATAGGACAGCATGAGCAGTGCAAGAAGGAAAGAACCAGCAAGAGACAGAGAGAGAGAGAGAAAGAGAGTGAGGAGTAAATACCTCTAATTTGTCGGTAGCTGATTCCACACTGGTGTTCACTTTTTTCAGTGAGAAAGTCTAGTAGTAGGGTATAATGGATTTAGACGAGGAAGGTAAGGCATGAGTAAAGGTACTAGTACTATAGAGCATACAAAGAGAATTAAAGCATGTCGACCGAATTACATGTATGCATAACTTTTATGACAAGTATCTACAGGCAGTTCCAGTGAAATATTACCAAGCTTATGGGTCATAGCAGCACTTAAAGAAAACAGTTAACCCATTAGATATCTACATGATTACAACTAAACAGTTGATCAATCACATGATCATTGACAAATACATGTGTGTGCCACCAGTAAAGAACATGATGACACAGTATCAGAACAAAGTTTTCTGGCAGTAAAAACAGGGTTAGATAAGGAATGTTTGTGGTCAGCCACCACTTACTCGCTTTAACAGGCTACCAAGACCATTCTTTTTGCCCCTCTTCAATTTGTCTGATTCCTGCAAAAAAGGCACTATCTATTTTTACGTGCCAATTGACAACTTGCAATGAAGCAATTCCAACAGAGCTAGCACTTAACTACAGTCAATATTTCACAAACAATACACGGAGAGCATTTGTAAATCAACGTAGCTCTACCCGATATAATGCCACCGTGACATGCAATGTCAATCAATATAGTCATTATATGTTTAATAATATACATGCTACCAAACTTGTATGAATAAAAAAAGTGAAGACATAAGGGTAACACCAGGCTACCTCAGAACCACCGGTGGATGAGTCCACAGACACAACGTCCAGCGAAGTTTCACTTGTGGTCAGGGTAATCTTTAAGGAGCAGTTGTGTACAGAAATGACATGTCAGATGGAAAGAGTCAAGGTCAAGGAACAGGAAAAAAAGATGGGAAGAGAACAAAAGGAAAGTATTATTCAAAGTTGGACACAGGTGAAATGGTTTAAATGAGATACACGTGTGTACCTGACTATTTAAAGTAGACTGGCTCCCATTAAAATAAGCAGACTGCGGCCGTTGTCTCAAGTTCTGAATTATGTAAGAAGTGTTATGATATTACACAGGCTTATCATACTTCTGTACTATCAAGAGGTCACAGAAATGGACATAAACTAAACACTGTTAATAAAAATTAAATCAAAGCATATAAATTAGACCAAATTTGAAAGAAAAACAACCTATAGTATGGAGCAGAAAATCCACCCCTTACCCCTTGATGATTCTCTGTTGAACTTTCGTTTGCCCCCATGTCTATCTTCTCCTCGTTTGCAGAATGCAAAGTCTTTGTATGAAATGGTACAAAAAGAAAAGAAAGATGGAACCAAGGCTTAAACAATACAACTTATCGTAAACAAATGATGTTAAAGCCAAAGATAAACATGATGAAAATAATTTCTCTACCAATACTGTCTAATTCAATACTGAGTCTGACTACATCCAACCGAGTCATACAGCTTGCTGATTGATGTATTGACATTACAACTACATTTTACATTTACTACATTTACATTTACTACATGTGCTAACCTGAACCCTAAAATACCAAATAAGAACAAAATCAATTCCAATATCTAATGGTAGCATGGTAAAACCTCCAGAAAATGTCAGATACCTGTACCTCATCGCCACTGAAAAAGAATACGTCCTCGCCTTCTTTGGCCTGGTCTTGCTTGCCCTTGGCAAACTTCACATGTAGAAGAGATGGGTACTTAGGTGGAGAGTTCAAACAACAAAGAAAAGCAAAGAACAGAACAAACTACAAATAGAAATGAAGAGTGACAGGGAAAGTTAAGTAAGAATGTCATTAAATACAGCTGGCTTCACAATGATATGAATGTGAAATTACAGAATAAAGAAAAATTTCAATCTTATCGTTTGTTAAAATTTCTAATGAGTACTTGTGGGATGTAAAATGTAAACAAACTGAAGATTCATGTGTCAAATGTTTACGAGAATCTTAATCATACAGACATCTTGACAAACTGTGAAGTTCAGTACTAGCAGTTTTGGCTGTCAATTTGATAAGTCTGATGAAGCCAGCTGCAGAAAGATAAGATAACAAACAGCTTTAAGAGAGAAAGGTACCTTGGATTTGAGAAACTTTTTCAGGCTTCCTCTGGATTTTTCTCCTTTCGAGGAGGATTTGGTCTTCACAGCGAGGAAAATTAGAAAGAAAATTAGAGAGGAAAAGAGATGCTAGACACTCGTAACTTCAAATCTGGCCTACATCATCAAATTGATTTTAAACAAAGAGCAAAATCTACAGAAGTCCAGAATATTGGAGTTTTGTAAAAGCCATGTGTTGACTGGTACCTTGCTGCCAGAGGAAGATTTCTGTTTTTTCTCTGGTGTCTTTTCAGATTTGGATAATTTTAACATCTGATGATGGAATATAGAGAAATAAGAAGATGTGAAATATGAGAAGAGAATTCTAACATTAACATAGATACAAAGTAAGAAAAGGAAAACAATTCAACTACTTCATGCATAGAGTATATGTATATAAAATGGCATCCAGATGGAAACAGAAAAGAACAGATAAATGGGAACAAATCTACACCTTTTCGGCTGTATCATCTACACTATCGTCTGAAGGTAGTTTCTGCAATACAGCATTATCGGCACTAGCCTGAAACAAAAATCCTTCATATGAACTCTAAACAAACTGTGCATCAAAATAACTAAAATGTGCCATGCAGTGCCACTCAGAGTTAAAGCTTACAACAACAGCCAACAGCAGTTCTTACATGATACAGCACTCACATACAGAGTCGTATCAAAAAACGACTAAAAGCTCGGTCGAGAGTAGCAAGTACCACATGCACGTTTGCACTGCCCCAGGAACAAAGACATTACGGCCACAACTGTAGCCAAATAAGGGTAGGGAAGAAGCAGAGGCATTATTTCAGCAGGGTACAAACCCTCACGCAGACTCCCAGCAGCCCATCTAATTGGTTATACAATCAAGAATGCTGATCCCCAGGGATAATGGCAGACATTCAGATGAGGTCACAGCCAGATCAGCCAATACCCGTCCAGCATTTTCCAACTGGAGGACCTATTCTTGAACTGAGGGGAGCAGTGAAAAGGAACATTAGCGATCTCCATGCCAAGCTGGTGCTGACAGGGGTCTAAAAATACACCCCACTGTCAGGACTTGTAACACTGGCTAACACTTTTCATTCATGGTCACCTGTCAGCAGTCGTCAGTCTATCATGCTGGGGGTTTCTAACACTGCAGTATCAATTTGCATGGCAATGAGTTGGTAGTGTAGGCCTGAATCAATGACTGAGGATATGAGACTCTTCCACTGTGCTGGTTCCATCTGTCCCCTCCAATAATAACATGATTAAGACTGTCTGACTCCCGGAGGAATTCGGGTCAGGGAAACTATGCAGGAAGCCACATAAACAAGACATTACAGATAGACGGACAAGTCGAACCTGTGTCATCTACCATAGGGAGCCTCCTGCATGCTATACAGAAAGGTATGGCCTAATTTGATTATCCTGCCATAACCGTCCACTTGTCTCAATTTGTGGAGACAAACCCGGCTAACTGTATTACCACGCCCCCTTAGGGCCTGTGCTATGTACAGGTATTTCTCCACTGGATGTACCCGAACATTCCAGCACAGTGATCGAATCACTCAGGACATCGCCTGATTACAGGGTCTTAAAATTACTACCCAACCCGTTATAATCAAATCAAACCTACTAGACTACATGAAATATTTCCAGGTATGCCAGGCAGTAAGAAGAGAATTACATCCCTTGCCTGAGGTTCAAGGACAACCCTGGAAAGGGTATGATACATTATCAATGGCCCTAAAAGGTCAGGACGGATCAATGTGAATTAACAACAATCTGATGAGAAGTGCAGTGAGGCAGGGGGCTGATGTGACACTGTTGGAATGCAGATGGCAGGAAGCTGCTACAACATGTGTGACCTTGGACATGGTGGGGGTCACCCCTGGCTGTCAAAACAAGAACTGCAGCCTGTCTTGCTACATGGTCATGGCCTGGGTAATAGCTAGGACATTTACATTTGTTGTTCTACTTCACAACATATACATGTAGTACCTGATACATTAGATTGTAAATATCCCCAGAATGATTTGAAACTAGTTGAATGTAACATCTAACCATACTAATACTAGAAAGTATGCCAGTGTTGCTATCTAAACGATAGTATGACACGTCAGTAAAAAAAATCAGAACTGAGAAGGTTCTTAAGATATACAATCTAAGGTCATCAAGAGATGACCTGGAATTATACAAGACATACTGTAATATGACCACAAAACATCTGTAACTTCGACTGAACAAATCTGTCAATGCATTGGAGGAAAAGCACTGTCCTATTAGACAACAAAACAGAACTGAGAGGTCAAAGGTCATTCTTGACTATCTCCCATCATTACACTTTAGTCACATACATGAAACACCTGTCACTGTTTGTTCATAGGGATCAACAGCTAAAGCTGGATCACACATGCTGCCAGATTTATGCTAATATATAACAGCATGAACCTCTTCAGGGTGGCCCTCTCTCGGCTGGTTGGCTGTCTTCTTAATATCCTCCTCCTCCAAAATGAACAATCCCTGAGTCACACAGTCCACACAGCAACAGAACCACATGAACTACATGTATGTTATGTACCATGACATAGCAGACATAACATGCATGGTTGGGCATGATAGCAGGAGACATAAAGAGGTGTTGACTCGGTCTTTGTTGATGCTGACATTATCCAGTCATACCATGCATTATAATCATAGCGTATTGGCAGCTCGTTCATTTGTACTATGAGTCTAATTATGACCAATGGCTTGATCTGCATACAGTTGTTACACATGTTGAACATACATTTACATGTATGTGTAAAGGACAGATATGTGCATAATAGGCTTGAAGACTTTGTAGTTTTCAGTGTTACAATTCAACAGGCTTCGAAGCAATCTGAAATGTCTAATCAAAGGGTGAATGCATTACTCCACATTCACTGTGCATTCAAAAGTAGATGGCAGTAATTGATTTCACAGTCACTCATATCAGTACAGCCACATGTAGCTCACCCTTTGTTAAAAACCCATTGTTAAAAAAGTTGTGTTGTGTAGGTTTAGTTCATTCAAAGCCAAACGTTCTACCTCTTCCACAGGTAGTACATCGGGAGGGGGGGTGGCAACATCTTCAGAACATGTGTGAGAAGGGGGAGGAATGCTACTGGCATCTCCAGTATCTGAGTCCTGATTGGTTGAGGTTGTATTCTGAATAAACCAATCAGCACACATAGAGAGTAGTTAACCTTAGCCCAGCAAGTAGTCTTTGAGTATGTACATTCTGGTATCAGTAACTGTTCTGTTCAGTGTTGTGTAAACATTATTGCATTGACATAAAACGAAATCTGTAAGACTATGAGTACCCTTAAAAATGTGTGACACAATTATCATGGAGGTAAAGACATAGTGCAGTTTGAACTGTGTTTTTCAGTACCACCACCAGTAGTTGACATGAGCCTCTGTTCTAACATATAGATAGGGCAAGTGTAACAAAAAACAACTTCAAGTAAAACAGATCAATGAAATAAAACTTGGACAGGGACAAAATAAACAAGGACAGAAATACACGTTTAAAAAAAAGACAAAACATGGAAGACAGACTTAAAAGGATAACTGTCTTTTTGTAAGACAGGTAAACAAAAAGGTACTACTTCTATTACACTACCTCCAGAGAAGGAAGAGGGCTGCATGTCAGGAGGTCAACAGGGAAGTCTTTGGGACTCTCAGTGTCCTGTGGCAGTGGCAGCAAGGAGAAAATGCAGCACAATCAATTCCTAATCAATCTCCCTAAATAACCAACACCAATTTGCAGGAACACCCCCTAGACCCGGCATGCCCATTTTTAAATGTCTTCAAGTACATGATCATGCCTTTCCAGTTTTTCTTTTCTCAGTATCTTTTATAAAACCTACCTTGAAGAGGAACATCCTGGATTAAAATCTTGCAACTTTGAAGGACACAATTTTCTTTGGTAATTCTCAGAGACGAATGTCAAAGTATTGATTCTAGATTACTAGTACACTTTTTAATGATCATACATAAATTTAAAAAATACAGTAACCTTGGCAACTGCATGTAAGTTCTTCTATCTGTAAGAGCAATGAATTAGCATTGGAAGGACTACATGTTAGAATGATGCTTGTTATTTGTTATTTTGCAGAGTAAAGATTTTGTATTTGAAAAAAGGTTTGAACCTCCTTGATTGAAGTAATTGTATTATAATGGTTACATTTAAAGCATGAGTCCGATGTATGAATATCTGAGAAATCCTGATTGAAAGCAGATTAGACAAGCGCACATATACAAACACACATACACGCACACAAGCAAACAGACTAACAAATAGTTGAAGTGCCAAACCAAGGTGTCTACAACAGGACGTACGAATGAATGACCATGGGACTATGTAAGCCATGACTGACATGCACATGCAGACGTGTGGGGAACACGGCTACCTCGTCCGAGCCAAAGTCAGGGTCCATCCACATGAGCTTGTACGTGTCGCCCGTAGGCGGCGTCCACATCCCCTCCTCGTAGGAATCATCGTCGGCGGGACCTGGGCTGCCCCGGACCCGCGCCGCGTCCTGATTCCCGGGAGGGGGGCACGACCAGAGGGACGGGTGGACAGGAGAGAGAGAGAGAGAACACACACACAGAAGAGAGCAGGACAAGGTTTAGTATGAGCCCACCAATGGAACTTATACCTTAACCCTTCTTACTTATGACCCTTATATGACTGGTAAGTACCAAGGGACAGCACATCTACATGTACCTTACCAACAGGTATGGGATGGTGTGTTATTAGCACGTCTACTGTGAAGAGGAGAGGACAGGGACAGTTGCATGTCTGCAGTGTTATTCATTATTGAATGATAATGGCACATTGATATGTCAATTGATGTGTCAGTTGTGCCAGAGACTATCCATGCAAACCATGCATGGGACATGCTTAGATGATCAGGTGTTAAATAGTTGTACAGTATCTCTATAAGTATGTCTCATTGGAATAAAACTTAAGTAACCATCTCTGACCAACCTACTTGGCAAAAACACCTACCAGCATAGTGGCTCCCTTCATCTTCAGTGGGTAATGTTCTAAACCTCAAGATAAAGAAGCTTATGTACATGGAGGCATCATGCTATTCATGGTGTCATAAACAAAGGTACCACAGCTGAAATTTGAGATTGTTAGTTAAGGCAAGCTTTGGTAGAACATTTGTAGGTTCGAGCTAATGAATGATTAAGTTTCTCATGAAGATAAACTCATCTTCAGTGTGATATCAGTATTTCAGCTGTAGGACCTGTGTTTCAGAAAGCCAATGTAAAAATAAAGCTGCATTGCCGTACCTCTTCTGCTGATGTGGAGTCAATGTCCATAGCTTCTGGGGACTCTTCCTTCTTTCTGCTGGACTCCTTAGTCAGGGAGGAAAGGGGAAGGTTTGAGACGTGTGAAGGGAAGGAAGGGCTCCAGGAAAGGTAAATATGGAGAGGTTAATGCTGTGTGCACAGGCAAGGGCACCATATGGGACTGCAGGTGATATTTGAACTGTCCCTGACTCAATTGTTATCTTAAGATTACAAATTCAGGGATGAAAATGAAACAAAGTTACAGTATGTTATTTAAGATCTCACATGGGCATTTATTGCAGTTTCCAGTACAGCATCCCTCTATAATATATTTGAACCCTCAAAATATACTGGTATTTTACACTAGGAGATGCATATTTCTTAGACATCAAAATATTTGTTTGACTGTAGTTTTCTGGTACCTCTTGCATGGCAGTTCCAGGACTGAAGGTGAGGAGTTTGTCCACGCCCTTCCCCAGGCCGGGTGACTCAGGCTTGGCGGCCACTTGTTCAGCCAGCTTGCGGGCGGCCGGGTGTTTGGGCTTGGGCTCTGCCCTCTGGGTGGGAGGGGTGCTCATCTGCAGGAGGTCACTACAGGTAGGAAACAGGAAGTGCATTAGAGGCATACTGGGAATGTTTTCTTTCATTAATGGTCATAGAGAAAGACAGATGCTACAACATATGTGTAGACTAAATTATAGTAAATACACAGGAATATCAATGTGTGTGTGCCAAACAAACATCAAAATCATTTAACACTCAACAAAGTATTTTGTTCAAAGGAAAATAAAATTGACTATGTATGAAAAAAAATCTATATGGAAGTAATCTCTGTCATATTTCAAAAAAAGTTTAAGTACTGTAATTGATACATTAATGTTTAAGGGAAGTAAAAGAAACTCCCATCATGAAAATATCATAATTTCACGTCTTCTAACACCAACTATAAATTAAAATTCTCACTTCTCTTCTTCTTCATTCTCGATAGCAGGGAGAAGGCCCTTGTGCTTAGCTGGAAAGAAAAAAACAAGATGTTAGACATGTATATTCTATTACCAGTAGCATCTTTTTCTTGTTATAGACTTTGACTGGAGTTGAGGCTAAAATATCAGTGCACTTAAACTAAAGTTAAAGGGTGGCAAAGCTGTGGGTTAAGAAGTAATTGACAAAATGATAAACATAAAGTATGATTGACAGTTCAGAGCTGTTGACAGACAGGTGCAGGTGTGGCAGTTACACACAGAATCACCTGAATAGGGGGCGATTACAGCAATGCGACTTAGGTTAGACACATCGCAACAACCACTATCATCGATATCCTTGGGGGTATCCATAGGCTGTGTCTTTTCTAAGGATGGCAACAGGAAAGAAAGCAAAGCACTTTGAAAGCAGAAACAAGGAAAATCAAATCAAACATGCACTGGAAATATTAAGGCAGGATTTTGACTGTAAAATATAACCATATATTTTCAGTATCACTTCAGAAGTTTCACAATAATTCACTACTTCACAAAATCACATACATGCAGCAAGAGTCCATGCCCCATTTACTAATGGTCTAGCAGTACTACTGATGTCAATTGTTTTGGCATCAGAACAACAATAGTAGGAAATGTAAGATGGTTGCATCAGCTGTCCTTGCTTTGTTCACAGTTTTAAAATAGTCCTGTACTTAAGCTGATCTACTCATACAAATCAGATTCTATCTTCTTGCTCTGTTCCTTATTTTGGCACACATTCTTTTATCAGTGACAAAGTAAAACAAAAAGTAGACAGTAACATCAGGTTTGTTTGCCAGCTGAGTCATGGTTGGATTCAAGTCAAATGGTACAGCTAACACCAATAGTCACTGGGAAATTCCTGAGATAGTTATCTCTCACTTTACAAAAGCAACGGATACAAACAACTAGATTTGTAGGCCTTAAACAAACCAACTTATTGTAGATCTTCTTCAGGCCTTACACACTGGGCACTGGTTCAGACAACGTTCCAAGCACAGCTATTTTGGAACATTTCGGGTATATACACATATGTATGTACCTACCCCTTTTTGCCCCATCCAAGGTTCCATTACTACCTAATGTCTTTGATTGTGTCTCAACTTTAGTCCCTGAACTGCCACTGTCATCGTTACCAACTTCCTCGGAAGTAGTCTCATTCTTTCCCCATCCAGTTAGCCAAGAAAACAGTCGTTTCATCCTGTCCTAACACTGCGACTTCTAGTCTGCTACGTTTCCCCACACATTTACCAAGAACTCTGGGTGGGTCACATCTGGGGACACCTTGACATGCTCTAGTGCCTGAGGTAAGAGCAGACAGTCTAACGCAACCAGTTGAGCAGGGGTAGGGGACAAAACCATACAATTGTTACCAAGGGGTATAATTGTCTCTGAGAATAAGAATTCTTCACCTGGCACTTCAAAGCCATCCCAAAGTAGTAGCAAAGGGTGAATGGATCATAATCTACTGAATGAAACATTTCACTTCAAACAGGGACCAGCCATACTCCCTATCCTAAAGTGGATGTTTTGACTCACACATTTGTAAAACAATACATGTCTCCCCCCAGGCATTTAGTGTGACAGGTATGTGATTTCTAAATTCTACTTCCTGGGAGTTGTGGAAAAGGGTGTGGCCCTGGGGATTCCTGGGTCATGTGTTACCATGGCAACAGCAGGTCAAGTGAAAAGACCTAGAAGGCTGCCCTGTGGATAATGATCTATGTGTGGTGTTGACCTACATCTAAAACTGTATGCCAGAAAATACTATAGATGAAGTATAAAGGATAAAATTTGACAGAAAAAGTGACACAACCATAGTCTAAAACTAACACTGTTATATTGTTGCTTGTTTGAGTCATTTTCCAGCTATGCAATCATAATCACTATTATCTATGAACCATACAAAGACATTATCATTGAAAACTATCAGTTCATCCAAAAATCCACATTACCTTCCTTCACTTTGGCATCATTAACACAAAAAATAACACAATACCACATGATACATTAGGTGAACTTAAAAATCTGTAAGTTCTATACATTTTGACAAATCACAACCTCTTGTGCACGAAAGGAATTCCCTTCAAAAGCTAGTTGGTACTGTTAAACTTTAATACTTAGACCAGAAAACACACAACTTACATCACACAGGCTTTACTGTCATGACAACAGGTGTTCTCTCTAAAGTTGATGAAAGTTGACACTTACCAGGGCTGGCTCCCTTCACCAGGGGGTCAAATTTCACGTACAGAGACTGTCGGGCCAACGCTGACTCCTTAAACTGCACCAGGGACAGAAAACAAGGCGTTCCTTGGTAAGTAAACAAGACACAGCGCTACGCTGGGGCTATTATTCTCTACACAAAAAGCATTAGCGTAGAAACCGGCGTGGAAAACAAATATACAGAAAAGCTTATCTCAGGTATTTACTACATGAGGTCAGGTGGGAATCATGGTAATCAGCTTCACACCTTTCCATGTTGTTCGTCATAATTATATTACTTACATAGGCCCTGGAAGGTGGGTTCTGTCCCCAAGCAAGAAATTTTAGGGTCTAAAACTCTAATCAGGCTACCAGATAATGACACAGGTACACAATTGTTCCTTGACCTATTTCCCGCAGTAGCACATACATGTACAAGCAACTGATCCTTTGGCTATGTACATGTATGCACAATGTACATAGCCAAAGGATCAGTTGACTTTCAAAACCTGGTTAGTCGATTAGTTCGCTATGTCCAAGAAAAAAATTGCATCTCATTCTGTTATTGTTTGCTACTGCAACACTTCATTCATCCAGTGACCATGAATAGTGTACCTCATCACTGTCAACTTCACCACCACAAGCTCCCTCTAGCAGAGCTTTGTCAGACTGCAGTTACACAGTATGACACACAGAAAACAGAACAGAGGAGAAAACAGAGAAGAAAGAAAAGAGAGATTGTATAACTAAAATGCTTGGTTTCTATTCATACCAAATGTGACACTATGAAAGAAAAACACTGCACAAATGATCACAGATGTTGAAAGGACTTGAAGTAATGGTAAGGAAAGTTGGAGTGACATAGCCAGAAGAAAGACCTTACTTATAAAACACCCATGAAGCGTATCTCCATATGTCCATGAAAGGAATATAATCATTATACAATGTGGCTACTCACTGTAGATGCACCATGTTTCTCCAGGAAAGCTACATCAAAAGATGTCGGGTCAGTGGACGGAGCAAAAACTGGATCATTGACTGAAATAAGGATAAGGAAACCATGATGTGCTGTTATGCTAAATATGTGGCTTAAATAATTAACTGAAATACAAAATTATAAGTAATAATATAATACTATAACACTATAAAAAGTGTAATATTTGAAAAATCGAATTTCATCCAAACAAGTTCATCTTTAAAGTCAAATAAATGTATATATATATGATAGGTAACTTAGAACACAGTGGTGTAACAGAAAGACTGCCATGAAATAAGCAATAGTTTACAAGAAAACAGATACGTAGTCTTACAATCATGTCCGAGACAATCAATGTAAGGAATACTTGATCTGCACATCGTCAAACTGTAATTAATAGGATCTTCTGCATATGTAGATTAACCTACTGTTAATCTAACTTGCTATATTTTAGAAAAGCAGCATTATACACATTTGTTGGCTTATATCAATGTAGTGTGTACTGTGTACAAAAACTCTTTTCAGTACTGATTCGAAATACCATAACACCAGTGTACTAGTAATGTACCTATGTAATTCAAACTACATGTATGTGCTTATTTGTGACTTGAGATGCGTAAATCCTACCAAATGACCAAAGTTTAGCACCAGAAAAGATGAAAATAGAAAAGTATTCAAATTACAGGCTTTAGTGCACAGGGGAAAGGCATGAGGCCACCTAGTTCTGCTCTGTTTAAATTTGTAAACAAACATTCTATCAAGTTGTCAACAGTTCACCCTACTTTGTCAAATTGTGAGGTACAGGTACGGACCTGTGACAAAACCTCTGTACCAGTACCTGTACCTTTATCCTGATGTTACGCTTAGGTACACAGCACTACTCTTGAGTCTGAACACATTTCTATACTATCTAAACAAACCTACTTTTGGAGGGCGACTTGAATTCTTCATCGTCCATGTTGGGTTCACCATCCTGGAAACCAGTGTCGCTGGAAGACGAGTTGGGAATGCTGTGGTCTGATTGGCTGTCTATCTCCGCTGGCGGAGGGGACATTTTTTTGCTGTCCCTCTCGCTGGACAAGAACGTCCTCATGGACTCCACGTCTGCCTCAGGCTGGCCCAGGAAGGGAAACAAGCAGCAGTTAAACATGTCCACTAGGGTCTTTCAATCTAGAGGTTCTGGGTTCAGATCCCTAGCAGAACCCGATGTTTTGCCTTAGGAAAGGCACTTTAAACCAATTTTCTTACTCGGCTCAGCCAAAAACGAGTATCCTATTTGAGGAGAGCGCACGTGTACGATCCCACCACACTTATTGAAAAGAGCAGGAGTCCATCCTGGTTTGAGTGGAACAAACCATACAGTCCCGTATTATGCAGCTTGTACTTACTGCATGGTGTATTACGCCTAAAGGCAGTCTACCGGTTATGCAAAACAAACAAATTAAACACAGAAAGGCACAATTGTGCTCTGTACGTAAGTGTGATATACAGGTTAGTCAAGAGGATCCTGCTACAGAAATTTGGTCAACAAACAAGCATGCTGTTGCCACTGCTTTTTGTCAATCCAGAAATTTCATGCAAAGGGGTGACCCACTAAGCAACAGAGAGGATCCATGTGAAAAAACAAACATGGCAGTCTTTACAAATTTCTGGTAAAGATTATTGCTATAAATGGAAAATTAAACATATAATTCACTAGGCAGATGATTATCTATACATCCAAGTCAACTTAGCAACCTCCCCTTGCACAATTATTGCGTAGCCCCAAACCTACAGGTGTGAATACTTGTGTGTAGACAGGGAAAGCCAAGCTGTTACCATCTACCTATTAACCTCCAAATTGTGTACACGTCTACAGCACTATTATGATATTGTTGGTACAACAGACAGCTTTTAGGGAAACACACGGCTTATGAATATTCAGTCAATCCATGGATCAATATACAGCCAGAATAAACCCTAGATGATAAACACTGTCTACTGCCTGCGGTTACGATTTCCACTGAGCCAAATCTACATAAAGCCATTTATTATCTTAAAGTCAACTGGCTAAAATTCAGATATCTAGGGACCATTGTGATGGTTTATCATAAGATATGATTATTGCGTAGAGGTCTAACATAGGTCTGTGGTCCACAAATCACTAATAGAATAATGGGGTAAGAATATTAATATCATTTTATCCCACTTGGATGAAAACTAGGCTAAGATTCTGATGAAGTAATATCTGATCATGGTCAGATATTACTTCAACAGAATAGAATCTTAGTTTCATCTAGGATGAAATGATCTTTTCCCAATGACATGTTGTCATTAGTGAACTGTGGGCCAAGCTTTTTTTGTAGTACAAATACACAGAATAAACATTTGGAAGATAACTTACCTCTGGTATTCTGTCTTGTTTCACTGCCAGGGAACTTTTGGTCTGTGCCTTTCTGGGAGATTTCAACTTGCTGGACCTAGGAAGGACATATTGGTTCTTAGAATTGTTCTTCCTTGCAGTCATATCATCCAATAAATTCATACACATAAGTTACTACAACTCATCCTTTGGATCACCCTCTTCCTTTCTTCATGGCAAATTACCACATTTGCAAGACCTAACATCACAGTGTACACTCACTTTTTAGCAGGAGATGACTTCTTTGCTGGAGAGCTCTTCGGTGAGTTCTTGTTGGCATTTGCACTGATGTTTTCATCTCTGAGTGGACTGCCCTTCACCGGAGAGTTAGCAAGTCCCTTTGATGTTTTGAAAGGATCGATGTTGTCCAGGTTGTCAAAGTCGATCTGGTAGGAACCAAATGTCTTTGGCGGAGAGGAGGAGACTTTGGTTTTGGACTCGAAGGGGTTGATGTTGTCGTCCAGGCTGTCCCAGTCGATGCTGTAGGATCCCTTGGGGATGGCAGGCATGTCGTCAGTGTTGTCTGTGTCTGTCATGGCTGTGTCTTCCTGAGGGGGAGCCAGGTCCTCGACTGTTATCTCAGGTTTAGCTTGTACCACGTCTGGTGATGAGGACTTCTGTTCCACACTACCTTCTTCCTCTGGTTTCGGTGTCGTCTTAGCAGCAGGCTCGGTTTGTTGATTTTCTTCCTGGCTGGATTGTACTTCCTCCTTTGGTTCAGTAGCTTCCTCGGGTACTGGAGCTTCCTGCTCTGAACAGATAGCTGCCTGGGTTTGGACTTCTGGTGCTTCGACACTGCTTGCCTCTACCGGGGAATGGGCCTCTCTTCAGTATTTTCTGTGGTGTCTTCCTCACTTTCAGGTTTGGTTTCTGGTTCAGGAGTCTGAATCACAGCAGGCTCAGCTTCGACTTCGGATGCAGATCCTTCAATGACAGGTTGATCTTGCCCTTCACTGGCTTCAGCTTCCTCTTCAGCACTGCTCACCTCAGACGTTTCTTCAACCTCCTTTGCAATGTTGTCTGCAACAGTAGATTTGTCTTCTTCCTCCTCAGCTTCGGTACTTACAGCAGCAGACTCAGCCTGAGATATTTCTTCAGCAGCCTTAACGATTTCTGCAGTTGGCTTTTCTTCAATGTCAGTGTTGGTATCTGCAGCAGCGGCGTTGACCTGCTCAGGTTCTGTGTGTATAACAGGAGGTTCACTCTGTTCTTCTACAGCCTTGACTTCCTCTGCAGCCTTGTCCTCAGCTGTGTCCACAGGTTCAGCTTCTATGACAGCAGAAATGTTCTCCTTAGAGTTGTCAACTTCAGCTGTTGGTGTGACTTCAACGTCTTCTTCTGAGCTGGCAACTTCAACAGTAGGCTCAACTTCTTCGTCTTCTGCAGAGTCAGAATCTGCTGGGGTAGACTCGGATTTGGTATCTGTAGGTTCGATTGAGAGATTTTCGTCCTCTGGACTGGCAACTTCACTGGTAGAGGTACTGTCTGCAACAACCTCTTCAAGCTCTTCTTGTTTGGCAGGAGTTTCTTCTTCAGGTTCTTGGATACTGGCCTGTTCAACAGCAAGGTCTTGGGCAAGGACAGGTGTAACAGATTCTTCCTCAGCTTCAGGATTTACTTCTTCAATTGGTTCTGAGGATTGCTCTTCAGCTTTTTCTGGTTGCTTGACTTGAGCAGGAGGTGAAATGCACTCCTCAAGAGCAGGTTCGTCCTTCTGCAATGGAACTGCAGGTTCTTCTTCGGGAATTTCTGGTGGGATGTCAGGGACAGTAGCTTCTGCTTCTGAGTCTGAAGACAGCACAGGTGTTTCAAGCTCTTGGTCAAGAGCCTCTGCCTCAAGCCTCTCGAATTCTCGGTCTGATCCTGAGTCCGACTTTGAAGTCAGTGGATCAAATTCGAAGAGAAGGTCTTCTTCCTCCGGGGGTGTGAGAAACTCGTCTCCGGTTGGAGAGGTACTGAACTCTTCACTCAGGTCCTCTTCCTCAGACTCCTTGGATGTGACTTTGTCACCTTCAGACGGCTCTGACACGAACTTGGGGATAGGTCCCTCCTCCTCCGAACTGATGAAGGAAAGCAAAACAACTGTAAACCTCCTTTACCAGTGCAAGATACTAACTCATCTTCCTCCCTTCACCAATGCAAGATGGCCCATTCCCAAATATTTCAGAGCATTAGCTAAGCTTGTTATCTTCTTGCCAATATCACTTTTTTTATTGCCAGAAAGTGTGAGCAACATATTTAATGGCAGCACAAATTTAAGTTAATGGCATCAGCAGCAAATTTAAATGAAAGCTCTGTATCTATTATCAGTGATAAGCAATACCATGAAATATAAGAACAGGCCTTTGATTAAGTACTACAAACTTCCAGTCACTATAGAAAAACTAACAATATAATGAGAACACCATGCACCACTATTTCCACATGCATGCTGAGTTTAACTCTCACAGCATCATGGGCTGTTCAGGACACACAGTACTAACCAGCTCTGACATTGGGAGGGTTAAAATCAAGGACTACTACAATGTATAAACCCTGGGATCCCTAGTTACCACCCGGTCTATTTTTTCAACTGTTACAGCAGGATGGGTTTATTTTATGTTTTATTTGCAGCATTATGTCTCGTAAGCCTAGTGTTAGATGCAGGACCTTCTACAGCCTTGCCTTGGTTTATTCCATGATTGTTATAGCTGGCAACTTCCAATGATCTAAGTCAGAAGATAAGTAATTGCAAGCTTCAACTTTTCTTTTGCATTCTTTCAAGTTAATATTGACATGAACATTCTCAAGCATAAAGGAGGATGTGTCATGATATATCAGTAATATGCTCGTCACTTATCACCTAATTTCCATAAAGTTCATTTTCATTCATCTACATCAATGTGCAGCACCACATTTCACATCACACTCACATTCACAGAGAGAGAGAATGATGTTTCCAAGATTCATTGAAAGCTGCCAGCCTTGGTTATGAAGCGACATTTGTAAGTGCCACTCCGGGATGAATCTGACTGCACTGATGACATTAATAATCCCAGCCACCAATAGTTTGGCTGTCTTCATTTATCTATTCTATTTATCCCATGCAAGGCAGCCACAGTTGATGGCAAAGCTAGGCCTAGGATGAGCTGCCAGCCCTAGCTATAGATGTGGATTCCTACGCTATGTTGATACCTGTATGGCTCAGTACCCTCTCGCGACATTTTGGTATTTTGTATTCCCCTGATGGAGACCAAAGAAACAAAGACATTACACATAAATTCTGTGGACAAACATAAAACGTGCGTGTACATACACACTTACCTATGTGCCACCTTAAGCCATGATTATATACATGTCTTTTAGATTCAAGTGAACGGTTTTGGGGATGCTTCTTAGTTGTAAAGCGAATGTTTGATATACAACATCATATTACTTTGAACTTTTTCTATGCAATCATGGTGATGACCGTACACCTTTCACGTACCTCCCAATTACACGGTTGGCTGCAGTTTCACACACATAAAATGACATGCCATTTCTTCTGGCAATATCAGGCCAAATCAGGTTAGTCATTGTTTCTTGAACTACATTAATATCATATTAGGACAGTATATTGAATTTGACAGTCAGTAATTCAGACTTTGAAAATCCAAGCACTTGCTCAGATTCTTTTTTTTAATCCTGTCTACAGATATAAAAGAATAATCTCTCAATCTTATATACAGGTGTGAGAGCCCTTTTTTGGAACTGCGTGTCTGGTATCAAATTTTTTCCCCAAGGGAATGTAGTAGGCTACAAATGGCTAACTGTGGTATGATTTTCCTATTTTTTATGCAAATCAGCCATCAAGCTGACTAGAACAATATTGTTGGTGTCATCGACAGATAGGACCTCTAAATAATTCATTGGTCCATAGTTGATGCTGTAGGCCACATTTCAAGGATTTACCAGCTTTATGTGTCAGATTTTCTAGGTAATCTTCAATAACAATTTATCAATATCAGTATCTGTTGATAATAGTTTTGATTTCTAACAAAATCATTGTTGTACCTACAGCTGCTAGTTATGTCTGAATCTAAATCATGTTTGTAACACGTATGACTGTATACACAAACATACACTCACAATACAATTAAATTGAAAATATAGGAAAACAACAAAAGAGAAAGAAAGGCACAAAGAAGATAAAATAAAAACAAGCATGTCAAAACATAAACACATTAGAAATTACACATCGATATGGCACGATTTGACAATAGTGTCTGCTTGTGAGTGCTGAAATATAATGCAACAAATAATATAATCCAGAAAAACTCACGATTTGAAGATGCCGTCTAGTATCTGGTCCAGGAACTCCTGAGCGTACTTGAGGTAGTCCTGGTGGTCCTGTTTGGTCAGCACCTGGACACGGTCCACCCAGCGCTCCTCCTCGTCCAGGTAGCGCAGGGCCTCCCAGGGATCCGAGGCGGGCTGGCGTCTAGACGCAGGCTTGCGGGCAGGAGTAATAAACTGCACGTGCTGCAGGAGAAACAAGAGACGGGCGGGAATCGCTCCAGTCAGCCAAGAAATTGAACGGCATCATCATATACCTGCACAGGTAATGGCAGGTCCCCAAGTATAAATTACACATACAAATGATCTGTTGAAGTCTTGCTTCATTCCTGAAGACACTTTCACTACAGCAGTTCTTTCAAACAAAACGATGCTCGTGTGGCATAAAAAATCCATTGGCAAATTTTCTCACAAATATCTTGTATGAGGCAGTTTATGTATACAGAACACAGGTTTAGTAATTTCATTCTGACAATCATAAATCTACATACAGATTTTCATACAGGTTTATTTTTCCCCACAACAAACCAAGATCAACATAATAAACTGCATACAATTACAAGGCATCTATCCCACATAATCCTTTCTATCATTGTAATATAGCTAATGAACACCTTTCTTGCAACCTGTACCACCAAGTATGGTACAGGTCCAAATAAATAAACAACTTACAGTACAATTATGAATAAATAAACAGTACAGTATAATTACAAATTAATAAATAAAAAGGTCTGTCCTGGCAAAGATGATTTTTGATGCCAGCTTAATAAAAGCTGAGAAAGGGATAAATTGATGTATTGTAAACTGTCATCTCTCCAGGACTCTCCTTCATGATTCTGAGAAAACTTTTAAAAACTAAGTCTGGCCCTAAGATGACATATTTTAGGGTAATAAAAAATAATGTATAGGTGTCAGCCTGACATCAAGGAAAAAGATAAATATGCACACAACGTAGCTGATCTCATATACAAGGTGAGATTATGGCCATGGGACAGTAGTGAATGCAAAATCACAAGTATTGATTTTTACACGCTCTTGGTTCCTGATTCAAAATGAAACAGTTCACCTGCTTTATCACATCAGAATGTGCTGATTCATAGCACAAAATTATTGAATTTTTTGGTGATTATCGCTGCGTTTACAATATCTACCAAGTAATTACATTTCATAGAATTCAAAATTCAGCCAGGATGCTATCATTCTTGGCACTTGGTGGAAGAAATGATTGGAAATCTATAGCGATGTACACAGCCATTCCAAGGTGTTCATTTGTATTCCCCCTACACATCTGGTGCTTCGGATATTGAGGCATTATCCCGTGAGGTTTCTGGTACATTTCTTTATTGGGAATCCGTGCATTAAGACCATTGTAATTGATCATTCACTGACTAGAAAAAGGCCCACATGTGCTGTTTTCGTGAGAAAAAATACAGTGTACTATGATGAGCATCATTTCAGTGGGATAAAAATTGTAATTTGGATTTGACTAAAAAAAAGACAAAGAGAACAGAAAAAGAATGTTGTGTTTTCTTCAAATTTTAAGATTCTCACTTGACGTATTAGTAGTAGTACTAGTACTAAGTAGTAAACTATTTGAATTAAGTCATGATGTGCTATTTCTTCATTATGATATTGCCTAAATATGCCTATGATATATTGTGATGGTTTATCATAAGATATGATTATTGCGTAGAGGTCTAACATAGGTCTGTGGTCCACAAATCACTAATAGAATAATGGGGTAAGATTATTAATATCATTTTATCCCACTTGGATGAAAACTAGGCTAAGATTCTGATGAAGTAATATCTGATCATGGTCAGATATTACTTCAACAGAATAGAATCTTAGTTTCATCTAGGATGAAATGATCTTTTCCCAATGACATGTTGTCATTAGTGAACTGTGGGCCAAGCTTTTTGATTCTCACTTGACGTATTAGTAGTAGTACTAGTACTAAGTAGTAAACTATTTGAATTAAGTCATGATGTGCTATTTCTTCATTATGATATTGCCTAAATATGCCTATGATATCAACTGTAATTGAGTTTTACATTCAGAGTAGCGGTTTTCGCATAGATTTAATAGGATGATAAGATTAGTACATTTGAGCTCTACATTGTCCAGGATTTTTACCTTGGATTCTTTCTCAGCAGGTGATGTAGGTATGTTATCCTTCTGTGAAGGTTTAAGTATTGAGCGGGTGCCCAGTGGCTGGGCGGTTAGCACATGTACAGGAGGCTTGGCAGTCTTTTCTGGTTCCTTTACAACGAAGTTTTCGTCATTCACAGGCGAGAAGAGACTTTCATTCATCGTAATCCTGAAACGTGCAAGGAAAAAACACAGCATGCAATATGGTAAATGTCAAAAGTAAACAACCAAGCAAACAATTGTTAGAAATATGACAATAAAAACAATATGCATCTAAACAAACACTGAATGTCATGCATTACAATATGGATAGGAACTTGTGTAAAAAATGTAAGATATTGACAGAANTGTCAGCCTGACATCAAGGAAAAAGATAAATATGCACACAACGTAGCTGATATCATATACAAGGTGAGATTATGGCCATGGGACAGTAGTGAATGCAAAATCACAAGTATTGATTTTTACACGCTCTTGGTTCCTGATTCAAAATGAAACAGTTCACCTGCTTTATCACATCAGAATGTGCTGATTCATAGCACAAAATTATTGAATTTTTTGGTGATTATCGCTGCGTTTACAATATCTACCAAGTAATTACATTTCATAGAATTCAAAATTCAGCCAGGATGCTATCATTCTTGGCACTTGGTGGAAGAAATGATTGGAAATCTATAGCGATGTACACAGCCATTCCAAGGTGTTCATTTGTATTCCCCCTACACATCTGGTGCTTCGGATATTGAGGCATTATCCCGTGAGGTTTCTGGTACATTTCTTTATTGGGAATCCGTGCATTAAGACCATTGTAATTGATCATTCACTGACTAGAAAAAGGCCCACATGTACTGCTTTCGTGAGAAAGAAATACAGTGTACTATGATGAGCATCATCTCAATGGGATAAAAATTGTAATTTGGATTTGACTAAAAAAAAGACAAAGAAAACAGAAAAAGAATGTTGTGTTTTCTTCAAATTTTAAGATTCTCACCTGACATATTAGTAGTAGTACTAGTAGTAAACTAGTTAAATTCAGTCATGATGTGCTATTTTTTCATGATGATATTGCCTAAATATGCCTTTGATATCAACTGTAATTGAGTTTTACACTCAGAGTAGCGGTTTTCGCATGGATTTTAAAGGATGATAAGATTAGTACATTTGAGCTCTACATTGTCCAGGATTTTTTACCTTGGATTCTTTCTCAGCAGGTGATGTAGGTATGTTATCCTTCTGTGAAGGTTTAAGTATTGAGCGGGTGCCCAGGGGCTGGGCGGTTAGCACATGTACAGGAGGCTTGGCAGTCTTTTCTGGTTCCTTTACAACGAAGTTTTCGTCATTCACAGGCGAGAAGAGACTTTCATTCATCGTAATCCTGAAACGTGCATGGAAAAAACACAGCATGCAATATGGTAAATGTCAAAAGTAAACAACCAAGCAAACAATTGTTAGAATTTGACAATAAAAACAATATGCATCTAAACAAACACTGAATGTCATGCATTACAATATGGATACAAACTTGTGTAAAAAATATAAGATATTGACAGAAACATATTGCAACTTGCCAAGTACAAAAATGGCATGGCCATCATATGCATACATGCAGTTTTACGACAAAAAACTTCCTACAAATGCAACTGCAATTTTCTCACTTTTGTATTTTCAGACTAGCAGATACAAATGAAAGCATATCTGTACCATCAACACCACCCTCTAAAGTATGATAATTAAAAGATGCCAGCCAATTTTACACTGTGTAGACATTTCTTACCACTCAGTCATTAGTAACTAATTGCCAATGCAACAATCTGAATGCAGCCACATCCATATTGCATTAACAAGTGGGTGTTAACAGAAGTAATTGTGAGGAAATGCATACGAATATTCATGTCCATGAACTTATTTGCAAAGGAGCCATCCACTTAGGAATGGCAGGTGGCTCTTAGGGTAATCCCATATATCATGTAAAACTATTTATAAAGCAGAGATACATACGAAAGTAAGTAGGCAGAAAGAGCAAGACTTAGTACTGCTCCTATCTATGCAGACAGGATTACGTGGGAATATGTACATTGTACATCCTCTGCATCAGTTTGACGTATAGGATCATGTGTTTTCCTGTCACATGTATGTCTGCCCACGTCTCTCTGTACATGAATCTTTGATCAGACGTGATTCACAGACTACTACTAGTATACTTGTACTTTGCAAGAGATTCAGTTGGGACTTGGGAATTATTTCGTCTTTTATATTCTAGCCTATGCATAATGTATGACCAATACTCCCATACAGCCCACAAAGCTGTATCTCACCAATCATACATGTCCTTGGTCATACACTATATTTTGTTCATACACATAAGTACTTAGATTACACCAGTGCATTCATTACCATACATACTGACATACATGCAGGACTTTCCCAACATCAAGTTTGGGTGACATCTGGTATCCCGTGTCTCCCACATCAATTTCATGAATTTAAAAGGTTTAACCTTCTCCGTTCTGCCTACTAGTAACCTCATACTCAATACAAATGTGTGCCAAATGGCCAGGCTATCTTAGCAGGCTGAAGCTTAATTGATTGAAGTAGGCAAGTAATTAGATGAGCTTCGTGATGGCGATGCATGCCTATTCACTAGGCTGTGTGTTACTGACCTACTGGTACAGATTGTAGATTAGATCAGTCCATATTCTTGCTGGCAGAGGCAAATTTATCAACAAGTTCTAGCCTAACACCTACGTGTTCCCAGTTTACAGTAAAACAACAACACAGTAAACAGCTCATCTCCCATGGGAGATATAAATAGATCATTAAGTGGGTGACCCCGTTTGCCCTATGATGTCATTCTATCAATTCAGGGTGACATTCAAAGAAGCATGATGACTGTATGATATCTGAATATATTTTGGCTTTGCATTTTCTAGTATCTTCCAAATTTCAAAAGGATTTAGTAGGCATGGCACCAGAATAGAGAATGTAACTAACAGGTACATGTACTACTACTAGTATTCCAAAATTTATAAGAACATAAATCATGAATATTCCAAATTCAGAACACTATAAATAATAAATTAATTGCTAAGCAATGGGGGTCAAGGTCAATATCAAGTTATCAATAGTCCTAGTAGTAGGCTAATAAGCATTGATTTAACATTCCAACTGTGCCATTTAAGGATAGATAAAGGAGGCATGCAAGTACTGAAGTAGTGGACTGTGGAGCCAAAATTTTACACACATTTGCATTTGCACATGTTTGCACTCCTCACATATATTATAGACAAGCCTTCAAGACACACCCAAAGCTTGTATTAGTCGTAAACCTTTTCAGAGCCAAACATACTTGAGCTAACCTGACCTCACCCAAGTGTACACATTTGATTTGTACACATCTACATTCTTGAGTGTTCTTATCTGCAACTGATGACAGAGCTTTGCAAATAGAGAAGTATTATCTGTGGTCTGAGTGCAATAGAGCCAATTCAGTCATCAGACTTCAGTTAATATAATTTTCGTGTTAGCCTGAAATATCAAACTGCATGTCTACATGGAATCTGTAGGCTGTTAACTAGCCAGCGATATGAATCAATATCGTCTGGTTTTCATTATTGGGTTATCCTCCATGGATATTAATGGTAACTTTGGACAGATGCCACGCTAGTCTATCTACATGTGACATTATTACATTTAACCTACTTATTATATCAATAACAAAATTGCCATATGCATCATGAATGTCCACTTTTAACAGTATACATGTACATGACAAATAATGTACTACGAATGTGATGTACATTGACTCACTCAGTCACTGACATTTTTCAGTTTTCACTTAACCGTGATAATCATAACGATTTGTGTTTTTCAATTTGGATTATTTCGTGTTTACATGTTTATCATCTTCAGAAAGCAATACACAGGACCATCCCACTGGTGTACTTTGGACTGTTGACAAACAGGAGAAAGTATTGCTGCCCGGTATAATTGTGTGTCAAACTGTGTGCTCTCTCACTGACAGTCTTAGTCCCAGCCATTACCATTTCTATGTGCGACAATAAGATTTGATGGGACACAGGCCAGTAGCTTCTACTGGACACCTAAACTAAAGGCATGAAATTTTTCATATCATATTACACGAATTATGCGAATGCCCTTCAGTTATCAATGGACACTTTTTGGCAGGTAAAAATTATGGTGTTGGTCTTGGCCTGTGAAGCTGACAGTAATGCCCAGAATAATTATGCGACATGTTGTAAAAAGGCCAACATTGTGGCGTATTTCAGTCTGAGGAAAAGACAGATTTGCTTGTGCAATACTTGACCCCACACGACCTCATCCGGTACAGACGTGGGGTGTAACATCTGGGCCGAACTTCAGAATCAAATGTCAAAACATCCCGAAAATTCGTCACTTCAGCAGAATGCCCCCATGGCCCCGGGCAGCAAAATTTATGCAAAACACCTGAAGGATTTCCTAAGTAACACCAACAAGTGAAACATAAATTCATATTGATGTAATGACTGTCGGTCCCGGTATGAAGCAAATAAATGACCGGAATTGGTCATATGGGGGCTAGGGTCAGTCTGTTGGGAACAGACTGGTTTCTCAACTGTTGAAGGTTTCTGTCAAAATCACAAACCTAACCTAAAAACCTGGCGTGGGGTGCACTTCACCTACAGTCACACGTGTGCTGGGCTCGAAACGAGCCTCCCTTACCTTCTACAACGGCGAAAACACGTCCGACAAGCTCGCAATCTGACAAATTTTCCGTCCGTCCAACAACGTTAGGAGAAATTTTGAATTTCATGGCCGTTACTTGCTGTGTAAATTCGTGATCTGCGCATTCTACTGCGCAGGTTGAGATCATCCCTGCGCAATGCATCCTGGGCGTAAAATTAGACGTAACGAAAGAGTCCAAATTTCACGATGAAATATATAAAAAATCCATCATAGTTATAAATAAATGATAAAAAATAATTCTATTAGTATCATATCTTAAGTTTTGGTTAAACTTTGACAAATTAGGACACGTTCATTAACCGATTCCATAAGGGAATGCATGATTGGTTTACTTGGTATTGAGAATTTGGCGCGAAATCTAATATTCAAAGCAGAATTTCTATTTTCTGCCTGAGAATCGGAAGGAAGCTACAATAAATGTATATCATATGAGTACAAATAATATATTTGA